TACCCTGGAGATAATTATCACCATGAAAGAAGTATTATTTTTTTAATGACGGATATAATTGTAAAGAGTCAATTGAAATGAGCGACGGTACTGAATCCGATGATTGTAAAGGCGCCTGTAACATTCTTCCCTGTGATTTACACCGTAAATAGACATTGTGAATATCATATATAAATATATATATATATATGGATTTCTCTTGAACGAAATGACTTGAAGCAATTTTCCCAATCCACCCGATTATGTTGTGTAGCGACAATTATTTCCTGGTTAGAAGAAAATGTCAAACTATCACATCAAAGTATCAGTAAACGTGGCTAAGGGAGTTTCATTCATTAGGCAGTATCTTGAACATAAATCCCTTTGCCGATGTATCGCTTTGCACACAACGGAACAACGCTCTGCATAGTCGTCATAGCTTAAACAGCTTATCAAGAAATCCACTTTTGTCCAAATCGCGTCACTCGTACGACTGCAACGCTTACAGAAAGGTTATACATATAGCTGGAAATCCACCACAAATGAAAGAGAGCGATATACACACACGTTGGCTATAATTTATACATGTACACTGACTGCATACACGCCATGCAAATAGTATGTCGTCACAAATTGAAATCAATCAGGGTGACAGCTGATTAGGCAGAGAAGCAAACTTTATCGATATCCTTTATTTCTAAATGAGGCAGGTTTTTTTTTAGAATAAATAGATACACATCAATTGAGGGCATGTAATCAATTTCACTTAAACTATTATATAGGTTTCTATATCTATGAGTCAGTATAGTAGTAATTCATTTTTAACATCAACACAAGTAGTATTGTAGAACGTGTTGTTTGCATGTAGCGACACACAACACGTGGTGGGAAGCAGCCAGTGGAAATTGACATAATTGTCGCAATTTTTAGGCGGTATTTTATTTTCCCTTTAGTTAGTCCGGTGTAGAAACCTAAATATGCTAAAAGATATACCTGTAATGGTTTATTCGCAATAAATAATTTAAAACTCTGGAATACACATGCGCCTGTATGTGAACATGGCTAGATACAGTCTAGTTTATGTTCTATTATCACTCAAGCAAGAATAATCATGGAAGAATACAATTAGATATGTTTTCAATTTCCTCTCAATAGCTTTGCAAAATCCGTGTTTCTATTAGGAGTTAGGAGTTTAGTTAAACTAAGTAATGCATGGAATGGGTAGCGTATATAAAATATGTGTGGTATTTACACCCGTGCTTAGTCTTCATTCATTAACATATTAACATTCTATAGCTGTACTAGGGAGGTTAGTGCACGACATGCTGCGCCAAGGACGTGATTATATCCATATATATATTCAAATTTGCATCACTAATATAGGTTAACATTTGGCAGTAAACCATTCAAACTGTGTAAACATACAATACGGCAGTACTTTGTTCTAGTTCAGTTACTTTTATAATATGTATACGATATGGTCTATGCCCATGGCGTAAGTCTCGCTTGAGCAACTGTAGATCCGTTCAAACAGTAATACATCGTTGGAAATCAGATGTAACTTCACGTACACGACGTGTGTAATCCGTGAAAAGCTGACTGACATTTAGCAAATGTGCTTAGATTTCTTTTGGTCGTTATTCGTCGTCGCTCTTTCGGCTGCTATACAAAATACGTAATTTTAAGTGATATCATATGTATATATATTTGCAATATTAGGTCACAGATTTAAGTACAATTAACAAAGTAATAACACATCGTACAAAAAATTCCCAATCAAAACATTAGCAACAATTTAACTGTACTAATATTTGCAATTGATGTTGCTTTAGTAATTTTGTGCACAATTGATTATTTATGTTGACTAGTACCAACAGAGCATTCAGTGTAGAATAGTAGATTTGACAGAATACAATCAGATTTCACTATAGTTAATGATTACGCGACTGATACGAAGGTATTGCACATTTAGGTTGCGTAAATTACTCTTTTATTTAAAACATAATACCACAGTTGCAATAAATTATATGATTCTTTTCAAAGAAATTGAATTATAATTAATACTTTCTCCTCCCTTGCTGCGGCTATGCAACTAGACTGTTATCAGCAATGTTGGTAATAGTTGTTTTAGCGTTTATATTATTGGTTCACAACTCTAGCCTTTATGAATATTTTAATCCTCGATTAAAAACAATGTCCAACATTTTTATACGAAGAACAGACAAACAAGTCATTCACTGCCAAGTCAGCGAGCTACACACTGACAACTAAACCGACTAAATATTACAGTGAAATAAACATACCAAGCTGTCTTATGATGATGACTTGTTTATTCGTCCAATTTACAGCGGAATGTTTTACCTGGGTGCGTAAATATTACTTGTTTTGTGGTCACAAAATGTCATCCCTATAATTTAGTCTACAATAAATTATATTTTAAATTGTTTGGTGACTAAAATAGTTTGACTTAACATTGACTTTGTGAGTTAGCATAATTCAATGAATAACATACGCAACATTATGATAGAAAGGATAAAAACAAACATGATGACGAATCAATATTCAAATTTATAAAAAAAAAGGGGGGTTGTAATGTTCTCAATACGCGATTCTGTTAACGTATACGCGTACTGTATGACATTTACGAACAGAAAAAAAACAGAGCTTCAATAAGAGGCAGTGCCGGAAATTGTTGAGGCCTACGGTGGGTCATTGTGCCAGATATCAGTCTTGTAACTAGGAAGTAAGTGTAAACCTGCAACCTGTATTAGGCGTGGATACACATACTGTAGTTCGTGGGATTTTTTAACCGAGGCTACTGCAACCTACTACACTGACAGTAAGCGGTCATGAACGGCCTTTGATATAAATAAATCTCATTTCACCTACCGTTAGTTTTTCTCCATCGTCTTTTCGGCATGTCTTCATTTTTTGTAAGAAAAAGAAGTGTGTACGGGAACGCGTATTTTTCTGTTGAGCGGAGGTCAAGATATCATGAAAGAGACGGTGAAACAAGAGTCAGCCATTCTATTATGCTCACTCGTCAATTATTCCATACATGTATGTTTGTTTGCCAATTAATTGACTCTACTTTGCTTCTCTTCAATACTGCTCGCATAGCAACAGACCGGGGAGGTGGAAACTGGACTTCAAGCACTTCACAGCGAACTAAAGTAGGATCAGAATCAATGGTTGTGCGTTTCTTGTTAAGAACTTACTCTTACGAAACGTTCCTCTTGTAATACGGTTTTATAACTACGAAAATAGAGACTGAATCACACCTGGCGTTTGCCTGGAGGTATAGCAAAGTACATTTCACTCACTGTTATGACATACGCGTATAGATTCGACGTGGCAACACTAGTCGGGTGTCATTCTTCAGTAAGCATGGTTTTCCACTTTACAACTGAACGGATATCTGCATGTCATTTCAGACCCTGACACGGTCACGTTCATGTTTTAATTATACTCCGTTGAGCAATATCATACAATATCGTATTGTTGTGTATAGTATTAGCTGATGCTCAGTATTTTGATGAACGTTTGGACAGACCATCTTGTCTTGTGCTAATTCATAGTGTACCACACGCCTCACGAGTAGAATGCATTCATATGACTTTATACTGCATGTCAACTTTCTTGAATAAATTCAGCGTTCGAGTGTCAGGCTAACGTTGAGTACACTTGGAGTAAATTCGTGAAGCGTTCATGTTCTAAATTAATCACCGTTCGCAAATACATTCTTTTGTGTCAAACTATTATCATGCACTTCAACGTACTGTCCTCATTGCTAAAAGTGCTGATGCCCCACTGGGTGTTTTGTCTGCGCAAGTTTGTCAGTGTAACGCTATTATGATTCCTGGCAGTAATGCAAATTATATGTGATATAATGACTTATTAGACACGTGTGCCTCACTTGTCCTTGTGTGCATCTTCTATGAATGCTAACAGATCAATTGTTCTATGTTAGCTCATGATATTGTAATCGGATAAGTGTATTTTTTCATGAGCCAACATATTAATTCTGCACAACATTTCACAGGCACGCACTCAAACAATCAAATTATGATTGACAAACGATAGACGATCACATGAACAATTCAGTGGGCGAAAGATTGTCTGGAAAGATTATGTGAATGGCAAACTTTCCAGAAGACACGCTGGCCAACTAACCACCGAGTCGTATGGACTATGATTTCCTAGTAAGTAGTACTTTCCAATCATCGTTCTAGTAGTTATATGATGGGTATCGCTTGTGAATCAATATGCTCACATTTTTTCGAAACGTTGTCGGAGTCCCTGGTAGATATATTTGGATACAGGTGATACATGGCCATTGTCGGAGTCCTTAGTAGACATATTAAGATAGTACTGATGGAGGGCTGTTACCCGAGGACTTCGATGGTCGTATATATCGATATTATACCAATTCACACAACTTTCACCTATTTTCATTTATATTCCCATTCCGTTAAACATGTTTTCATGACATTGTTTAGCTTATTAGTTAATATATATTTTTTTTGTCTGAATCTGGTAACTCTAGTTGATGACGGGAACTTAGTATATGGTGTAAAATGAACAGCAGCAGTTAACTTGTAAATCATTTTATTTAAAACCTAATTCCATTCATGCCAATAAAAGATTACACATTTTAATTTTACTATTATTATATTATGTAAACTGACAAGATGTATTATTTTCTCATGCTTCGCACGCCGTTATATGCATGGCGTGCGCATACCTCCGTTTTAAATGAAATAAAGATGGATAAATTTACATATAAACATGATAGTTGGTTTGCGCGCGGCGGAAATATATTAATAACACTGATCAGTGTGTATTTACTTTTTGCGAAATTAAAAAAATAATATTAATTTCGAATATAAAACAAACATTTTTTTAACGGTACAAGATTATGAACGGCTAAAAATATGCAGAGTTTTGGACGTCTGGTTAGTTTATAATTATGTGTCTAAATCAAATATATCAACGCAATTCTGATAGCTGTGTCAGTACAATTAACATGGCACTTTGCTTGGTTGTAGTTCCATTCGTCTTACACTGGTGGCGATATTCAACCAGGAACAATTGGAAATGCCATCTAAGTCAATCCTGTGTTTTGGGTTAATGGTTAACATACTCTTAATCAATCGCCGAAGCTGTTTGGAGTAATTCCGCTGAGAGTTTGGCCATTGTGGAGCTTTAGTCATCAGTTGCCGGAGTGCATCGATGTTATAGTCGGTTTGACAACTAAAAGGAAAACGTTTGCTGATCATTTTGAAAAGAACGCATCCCAATGACCAGATATCGGCAATAATCGGGTCGTATGGTTTTCTGTCGATTACCTCCGGTGGCACAAATCCATAGGTACCGTGATATTTAGCGCAGATACATCCCTGATATTTGACTTCTGTTGAGAATTTGAAGTCGGATAATTTTATCTGGTAATGTTCGTTCAAAAGGATATTGTAAGTTGTTACATCACCATGTGCGATGTTATTGTCATGGCAGTGAGAAAGAGCATCTATAATCTGCATAAAGAAAACCGAACTCTGGGTTTCGGAGATGCCATCTTCGGTGTTTGAAATATATCTTTCGAGGGAGCCTCGACCAGCGAGCTCTGTCACCAAGCACTGGTCTACTCTGGCCTCGAACCAGGTGATGTACTTAATGATATGCGGATGCCCACGTAGTTTCTTCATAATCCGTATCTCTTCGTAGAAGCCATCTTCCACGTAGTGATGGGGAGCATCATCTCTGTCCACCATCCGTAACGCTACTTTCCGCAGAGGCTTTCTTTGCACAAATATATACACTCTGGAGTAAGTGCCGATGCCGATTGGGAAGACCGAAAGTTTACAAAAGTCGTGCACCCAGAAATGATACTGGCTATTTCCTGAGTGTAGTAACGATCGGGTTGGATCGAGGTCCTTGTATTTCAACGGGCTATGTAAGTATTCCTTCGGGTCATCAACTATACATGCAAAACGCTTCCAGACATCATCTTCCTCTATTTCTTCGTTCGTGTCATTATCACCCAGGGCACCTTCCTCATTGGCTGATTTGGGGTTGACTGTCATACTCTTCGGTGGCCATCTGTATATAGTGGGGGTCACCATCTCATAACCTGTCAGCATATTCTCTGCTTCAGTCATTGTTTCCATGGTGATAACCTGTGTAGATAATTTCAAGCATATATTTAGTAATTTCAAATACAAACCATATAAAACAATCATTACAGAATAGTTAGCATTTATTCTTCCGAATCTCTGCATATCGCCTATTGTCATGTTTGCGTCTACCTCCCAGACGGGGACTCTGGACCATGCACATGTGAGACCAGCAGATGAAACTTACAAGCATGATGAATAATTTACCTATACATAAAAAATCTACCATTAGCTGAAACAAATTAAGTTTTTGTCTACTTCACTCCTTATTCAAAAACCCTGGGCCATGTAAGATTCTAAGGTGTGTATGGAGCAAGTTTTGTGTTAAAGTTAAAGGTCCAGTGCTCGACAGAATCGCGAAAACAAAATGACGATGTTGTGAACACGTGTATACTCGTGCGTTTTTGGCATGTGTTCACATATATAATAATCTGGTAGAAATCACATACTTGTCCATTCTGAAACACTGAAATCTTTAGATATATTGGAAATAACTCATTATTGTACACAAATAGCGACCATATTATTGTTGATGTCACGCTGGAGGGCGCTGCACATTATTACCCTGGTTCAGGGTATTATAGTACAGTAGTTTTACAGTAATGACAGAACAACAGTAGTTGTGTCTTTTGTAAACTCGTTTAAAAGTCTTATTTTTTTTTGTAAACTAAGGCCACACTGATTTAATTTTATGGATGACATCCTCTGAAGACCCCAAAACTAATGCGAGAGGGCGAAAAAAAAATCCTGCTAAAAAAAAATGCTGCTAAAACCATAGGACTACGGAGCTGTTATTACGAATTGAACCACAGTGTATCAAAAAATCAACAAGTCTCGTACTGTATTACTGTCACAGGTATCATCACCTTTGATTTTGAAAAGGCTAGAGGATAAGGCAGATGTTAGCTTTGCCAAAGGCATACACATCAACTCAATGAAAAGGAAAAACTTACTGTGTTGTATTGAAAAAATAAATAAAAAATGAACTATATGTTTGTCAACAGCAACCTGGAAATTAATTTCTTTGACATTCAAACTACAGCTTTTAAAGTGACACTTCAGATAGACTAAGTGTAGACACAAATGCTCTAGAACTACTTCAACTATGTAACAAATTATAAGAGGCTCGATATTGAAAAAAAAGAAACACCAACAGAGAGTCAACAACTTGAACAATCTTGATGCAGAAAATTATGTACATGTATCTTGATGAAAATTTGTCATATGATCAAATTATTACTGACTGTGTGTGCAAGCAAATTATCCGAATCAGAAAATAAAAAAAAAATAATAAGAAACTTTTCTTCACCCCGAAAGGGGACTTCGGCCGAGGAGCTTCCGCTGCTTTCGTTGCAGTTTTGTCGACTTCAATGCGGACAAAGCAACCGAACTGACTTGTCGCCTGGCCGACTTTTAGGGCACCATACACTTCCACTCCTCTCCCATTTTTCTTATCATTGTAGAAGAAACGCGGGACAGCCACTCTGGACAATATGTCCTTAAAGTTGTCTGGGCGAAACTCGCTTGCCGCTACCGATCTTTCGTATAGCTGTCATGGTGTAAACGTCACATCTCCCCGGCCAACGTCAATTGCGTACCAGTCTACAACAATCCCTCCGTTTTACCTCTGAACTTTTATGCTCGCGTATTTTGGTGGTGTGGTCGCCATGTTAGATCGTTTATGGCAAAATTGGCATGTTTTGAGACAATCTCCTTTCCATAGGTCTTTGCGTTTTACGTAACGCGCATCTAAACTGTGCGGAGTTTGGTTTAGAAGTAGTCCAAAACGAGTTTTACGACAAGTTGGCGCTTTGCGATACTATGAGTCGGCAAGTTCCGGACAGAAAACCGATTTGTGGAGACTCGTCGTCGATTTTTTTTTTTTTTTTTTTTTTGAGAACAGGCGAAAACTAATGCGCGCGCGGATGTCATCCATAAAATTAAGTCGGTGTGTTGCCTAAGGAAAAATAGCTAAACACGAAAGAGTGTATTGTTCGTTAAAGTAGTGAGCCGACATACCGTTATTTCGTGTTTTTTTCTAGTATTTTCAAAGATTTTGTTTTAATTTTCGAGTTTTTGTATTTTCGAATAATAATTTTAGTTTACTTCTAAACAAGTCTATTATGTATGGTTTTGGTAAAACTAAATAAAACCAAATGACTTTTACTGTCAGGTCGGCATTATTGGTAATGGGGGCTAACCGTATACCATAGTCTGTACTTACCTCAACTGTGATATCTCTAAATAATACACAGAACAGAACAGAACAGGTTGGCGTAAACGAAGCGGTCCCTGTCAACGAGGGAAATAAATAGAAAACGAGAGCAGTTGGCGGAAAAATAGAAGCCGAATGCATGGAATGAAGGAACGTTACGCTTAAAAATCGCGTCGGATCACAGACGCAGATATGTTTTCGTATTCCAAGCCACATTTTATTCACCTTGGATAGGAGTTACGTCACCCCACACTAATAAAACCACTTTTAGGCAAAATATTATTTTATTGTTGTCCAAAATTGTTGTAAGCAGAAGAATCGAAATAGTATGATTATAATCAGTCTATCAGATTAACGCTCGCATTTCCACATATTAGTCAGAACACGTCTTTATTTCTAAGGGAGGGGTAAGTTAAGCGCGCGGCGCCACACACTGTCTGACTCTACACGCCCGACGCATTCTATTTGAGTGTGGACAACATCTGCGCTCACACAGCTCCAGCCGTGCCTGTTCTTCAACAGTTATCAATGTCCGGGTTGTTTCTACTATACGATATACTATTATCGATCTGCTCTATAACAACCTTGTTGCTGGTACCCACATAAGAACAATTCGTGTCATACGTATGCCACACCCCACTGGGAAGAAGGTAGTATATGTAGGGGAATTGGGCAATCAGATAATAAGATATTAAATCAATATTTCCCTGTTGCAACGTCATGATTACCTACAACGCTCGCGTTAACAAACAGATTCCACCTTTATTAAGTCAAATGCCAAAACTCTGCCACCTAATTTGATAAAAGTGCCAGCACCAGTTGAACGCAGCCGTTAACTATCCCACATATAAACGACTCCGTATCTCACATATTCTACGTTTTAAAATGTTGAATTTTTTAATCTGAGGAAAACTGAGTCCATATCGACTAAAAACTGCGCATTTGTAGTCGTAAAACAATGCATACTGATAAGACTCGCTATTGTGTTCTGATGGTAGGGCATGTCCAGTCGGACGGTGTGAGACAGGCTTCGGTCAATGATTTATTTTTACTTGTACAATGATCTAATCAGTGGAAAATCATTGCTATCTTGTAAATTGGCAGGGCTACCTCTAGTATGATAACTAGGAGTGATGAGACGTCTTCTCCCAATTCCTGATTCGATAGGTATTCCAAGTTCATCCACGCATCCCTAAATAAGTATCTGAGCAACAAATAACAGTAAATACCAATGTTTGGATAGCAACAAAGTCTTAATGATGAAAACTGCGACCGCTACTCCGCTCGGTCACGACTCCGAATCATTGATCAGTTTTCACGTGAACGCGAGTACATGTATAGTAAATTTAACTTTTTGGAAAATCAAATCACCCCCCCCCCCCCCACCCAAAAAAAAAAAAAAAAAACCCGCCACATTGCTAAAGCACAGGGCTGGACAGAAATATAACTCTGTTAGTTTGCTTTGGGCATTTTCAATATCTGTGGGTTTGTTGGAATCGCCTTTTTGGTCATGCTAGTATAGAATTTATAGGTACATAACATTAGCAAGTAAATACACAATAATTATATACCCGAGGTCTTTAGTCATAAGAAATTGCAGCTGCTAGGTTACCATGCACAGGATGGACTCTACACCAGAAAGACGGGGGTGGGGTGGGGTTTTGGGGGGTTTGGTTTACTATCATTATTTACCAAAACTTCATGCATACATGAGATCCCAAACAAAATAGTTCTGAACTTTGTGTATATCACAAGGCAATTCAGGGAATTAGAATTCCGCCGAATGATTCTTCAAAAGTAATTTGGTTTTGCACCTCACAGGACACAGGTAAAATTCGCAGAAAAAGTGTTAGGCTCAAATCTCAACACAGACACAGACACACACATACATACACACATAACGAAACGATAGCTTGGCCCGTGAACATTCATCCTTTTATTAAATCTGAATACAATACTAGGTAAATATTGCAAATGTGTCAGAACCAATAACATCCAAAAGATACATCTGTGTTTCAACAAGCTAAAAATAAGAAATCCTCCATTGGTTTCATTTACATTATCACAACCTATTTTTTTTATCAAATGTTTTCTTAATTTCGTTTTTTTTGAGGGGAGTGAAAATTTGTTATGAATGAAATGCAACATATTTTCACAAATCATGAAAATAAAAAAAACACAGTTCAGCAATGGAGACACATAGATGGCACCAGTTTTGTACAGCCTGATTATGTCATGAAAACAGCTCACAGAAAAAATTCTGAACAAGTTAACCGTCCTTAATCTGTCAATAGTAGGTGCCTTTATAAGGCTTCCACATGATGTACTCTGATGAAAAAATTAAATTACAGAACACATCAACTTTTTTTCAAAACAACGATTTGATAATTCTTAAATATTAGAAGTGCAATGTTATCACACGACTAACTTGGTCATGTCAACTCATTTGAATATCTAACCTTGTAAAAGTACTTAAATAGATCAAAGTTCACCAATGGAATCAAACACTTGTACAACAAGTGTTCAATAATTTAACATCAGCCTATCAGCTATAAAACTATAAAATACATATCTATTCTTAAATGAAAAAGATTCTACATCAGCCTGTGTGGAGTACTTGCAATTTGCAGGAAATGCCAGAACCAGTTGCCTTGCGTAAAGCCGATGTGATACAAAATATGGCTCTCCAATTTAGGATCAGAATAGATTTTATGGCATTTAGTATCTCAGGCAATTTGTTGAGATTTCTTATGTAGTGGTTTTAGGATACTCCCTGCAAAGAGCCTTTGTTCTTTGACTCCAATCTATGAACCCTGCTTTGAAAAACAGTAAAAACCAGCACTCTAAAAAATAAAACTTCACAGAAATTGAAACAGTATAGTGCCCTCTTTGGCAAAGTGATGATATTCCTTTGTTTCACAGTAAGGGTTAAACTGCTCCAATTCGAATTTGAACCTTGATTTTGTTTCAGTCACACATTCAACACACAACATTGAGTTTTGATTGTCAGGCTCACAAACTGAGACCAAAATTTAAATTAAGCTTTTACTTACAGCTGTGCCAAACATTGTGACCGTAGGATTCAAGTAGACAACATAACATTAACACTGGTCTCCCAATTTAAAATTATATCACATCGACTTGATAAACCATTTTTTGTTTCTTACCTTGGATTTGTTATTATCACAATTTTGTTCTAGTAATATTGACTTAATTGATCAGAGTCACTTTTTTTCTTATTTAGCACAAAGAAGCAAATCTTAAACTTAATAACAATAATTGCATGTGTTTTTCAGCATTTTTGTTCAATGTTACTGCTTAACACCAGGTTGAGACTCATCATTAACTGGAAATAATACTTTTTGTGACACATTAAAAAGAAAACTGAAGTACTCGTTTGATGAATATGCCTGCACTTAAAATACTGGTATAAGTATTAATAAGTTAAAGTACCTAGTTCATTATTCCAAAGAAAGAATATGATTTTGTGTGTTGCAAATAGTTTTAGTATGAATCCAAACAGGTAATACAGATTAAAATGACCAAATCCACATACCAATAGCGACATTATGTGTAATCAACTCTCTAAACCTGAATCCATACATGTAAGTTGAGAACCAACATACATAAAATGGACTGTTAAAGCCTCTTTTTGAGTCTCACAAGACTTCTGAATTGGAAGAAAAAAAACAAAATTGTGAAAACAATGAAAATAACAACTTTTATATATGGACATGGTGTATACTATGCGGCAGAGTGAAGTCATGAAAATGTCTGAAATATTATTACCCACTTCTTTCAGCACAAGGTCATGTGGACATGAAAGACGTCCATCACTGCAACCTCAGTGGCGAGTCTAAGAGTACTCTGACAGTATTAGATCAGCCAAGGAGGTGATGATTTCAGACATTTTCCCACTACAATGACTTTACCTTCAATACAGGCAAGCCCCAAAAACGATTCATAGCTTACACAATTTTTTAGCGACACTTGTCGGGCCATGTCAATATGGATATCGTGTGGCATATACCCGGTACAACACATGTGAAAATAAGGGTTTGTTTACATGAGATGTGAATGTGTTGCACAATGACTATGGCGCTTTTACAATGAACATTTCCTTTGGCAAACTATAGGTGGCAGTCTGTGGAAGATCTAGATGATACGGAATAAAAAAAACAATGACTTGTTAGATTTTACTTGAATAGTCAGAGAAGCAATAATCAAACCAAAGCAAAGTTCCATGAGGAAGAAGACAGCTTTGTTGTCACACTTGAACTGCTTGATGTTTTAAGGTTGATTTTGTTTTCAATATCAATTTACTTTTATAATTCAAACTACAATTGAATCAATGACACCGTTCTATAGCAATTTCACAAAGGGCATTATTTTCTGCTACACTACAGGAACAGGCTTGTTTCTCTGACTATTCTGCAAGCACAACAACAAGTTCACTAAATAACAATTATAACAACAAAAATAAATAAACATTATAAGCCTTTTCGTCAAGTTGTTTTTCTAAGTTTGAGCTGCAGTGGATGTATTGAATATACATTACCAAAAACAGCAGAAAAGCTTTAAAATGACTAGTCTTTGTAAACCCCCGTACCCCCAGGTAGTTTTCAAAATGAAAGTAAAGTGAAATACATAAACAAAAGTCTTCAAAATGTTCTGATTGCTTTCATCCATAGAGGGCGCCATCTAATTCCAACAAGCCTCATTCTGATAATTTAGACATCTCAAGCACATAGATAAAACTCAAGAAAACTTCTGAAATTTGATAGGCTTGATGGAAATGTTAAAAACACCCTCTAAGGAAAGTCTATATCATTTTGTCTTTTTCACCTCTTTCAGAGGATTTATGCATTTCTTCTTCCGTTGAGAATTAATGATCTTTGTAAGATTTACTCCCTGCTCCCTGTACCTGCCTGAAAAAGATGGGAATTTTGTGAGTTTCTATGGCAACACATAACACTGCAGCTCATTACAATTGAATTACTCCAAAGACATGTTGGCAGGTCGCTGGGTCAAGTCGAAGGATACCACAAGAAGCACATGATGCAAAATACTGTAAAAGCATCAATTCTCACTGATATTTAATTTCACTTTTTATATATTCAATCATACTCCCTGGGTTAAAAACCAAGGGATTATGACTGTATTTATAAAAACAAAAAAATTAAAAGTAAGACTTGTAATACTAAATATTCACATGGATTTCACTTATTAATGAAACACCAGTGGTTAATTTGCACCAGTGGTTAATTAACGAGTTTACAGTAATTAATATTGGGATAACAGACTTAAAATATTTTGTAAAAACTCCTGATCCACGGCCGTACACAACATCCTAAAGAGTTCTAACTACTGAAAATGTTTGAAAACTCAAACATTCAAACTAAATTGCACTTGTCTGGTTTGTTCAATCCATCATTAGACCCATGATAAAAAAGCTCAGTCCTACAAAGCCAACTGCCTGACAATCCAAAGCTCTGTCACTTGACAAATCTTTACAGTTTGAAAATGTACAAGTTCATTACTGGTAAAGCAAATAAACAGATGAGAGTTCAGCCAAATTTGATCCATCATAAATTTGCCAGCATAAAAAAAAAAAAATACACAGAAATCCTCAAAATTCTGCAACAAAAATATATGGTCACTGAACTAAGTTTTTCAGAAAACAACCGCAAAAGTTGATCAAAAATGCATTTTTTGAATTAGTCTACAATTCCTATGGCAGAAATAACCCACCATATTTTCAAATATTGTTTGTTTGTATTGTTATGCGGACTACATATGGCTGTCACCAAAATTGGAAGAATTTTAAATCCTAGTATGAGTTATCTTATTCCCTAGTTGCAATAACTCAAAATCTGTGATACAAATAACCAACTTTATTTTGAATTTCTAAACTTCATAGGATCATCTATATATGCTACGTAGTGCAGAGAAAAAAAATTACCGTCATTATCAAATTAATTTTTGATCATAAAAAAAAATCATAACTATAAATGTTGCTAATGTATTATAAACAGAGGCCCTAGAATTTAAAAATCAGAATAAAAAACAAGTAAAAAAAATTACACTGCAGCATGGAAGACTATAATGCATAGAAAAACCTCTAAATGATTTACTTCCAACTTGTCATGTTAAGAATGGTAAAAAAAAATAACACGGAAGCAGCGGCTTGCATTAGATGGTCAGACAGTTCAATCTTGTAGGACAATGAGCTTAGATTCACAGCATTCTGATATCCATTGTGTTCTTAATGACACACTGTCTAACAAGAGAATAGATATTAAAATTCTATACTTTATATCCGTTTTTTATAAGAAATTTCTAGCATAGGATAATATATACCCATACGTGATCTTATTCATGATTATTTTTTTAATTTTAATCCAAACTACATTAGGCCCCAATTTTGTTTGTTGTGATCAGAGTAATAATATTTTGTTATACAAAACGTCTGTTGTAGTGTCAGTTACAGAAAAAAAAAAAAAAAAAAAAAACCCGTCTCAGAATTGTAATAATCTATAGGGATGATAGTAGGTATGATATATGTTCATTTCTCTAGAAGGCACGGGTAAGTTTCTTCATTTTTTTTTCTTGTCAGGACCGGCAGTTATTTGGCATGTTCTTACCACCAGTGGTATCCGAGTCTTGGCTGATAGGGGTTAGGGTGGTATGGTGATGAGTATCCGCCTGGTCTTTGCATGGCAACCATACTGAGTGCTGAACTTGCAGACATGCCACCAGCCATGTGACTACCTTCATACTGAAAACAAGTGAATATGAAAGTTACAACATTCCATCCAACTTGATTTAAAATGGACTACTTGCATAAATAAATGTATAGGGGGGGGGGGGTTACCCCTACTCTGGGGAAAATCCATCTTCTATGCCAGTTAAACGGTTTCACACATAGGTAGACACCTTTGCACACCCACTTACATAACAGTGAAATTATTTCACCTGACAGGTAGAATCTTCCTGTACATCCCCACAATGATGATATGGCTTCACCCCACACATTCTCTTACATCTTAAATAGCTTTGATTTGACAGCTCATAACACTTTAAAACACTCCACACCTTTACATTGGTAAAATGGTTTCACCTAACAGGAAGTAATACTTTGCACATCCCTGCATGCCAATGAAATGACTTCACCTTATACATTCACGCATTCAGGTGAAATTTCACCTGAAGGGCAGAAACACTCCAACATACCAGCACAACAGTTTCACCCAAGGGTAGAAACACAAGACATAGCATCTAGATTGCCAGAAAGTAGGTTTGCAGACTACACCAAACAAATATTCATAGTTCTGATCATCAGTGAAACATGACATCCATTGCTCACATGTTAATTAGAACATTCTTTGCTCACTGTAAAAAAAAAATTTAATCCTTACTGGGCTCTCTTGTCCATACACTGTCCTTACAGGTTGTTGTACTACTGTTGTATGGTGAATAACAGGGGACGGGTTATACTGAGGCGTATACTGTGATACTGACGATGGATACGTAGGCTGTGGAGCTGCGTAGTGTGGACCAACTAGTGTTGGTGGCTGAGGAAAAAAAACTTTGATATTATATGTCACCAGAATGGACAATGAATTATTCATACAGTGAGTTTTGAATGTTATTATTACTTCAGTAATGCCTGTGTAATCCATATAAAAAAACACACACCAATTTCAAGGAATTGCACTAAGATTTCTTCTTATCTGCATTGACATATGGCCAGCTATTAATTCATGAAATAATGAATTACCTACCTGGTAAGAATACGTAGCTGTAGGTGTGTAGGGAGGCGGGGCACCTCCGGGACTGGACACTTGACTGTATGTTGGAGCACTATGTTTATAAAGCGGTTGATGAAGAGAAGACTGTACTCCTGGTATGTAAGTACCTAAAGTAGTGTAACAAAATTTGAGTAAGTTGCGCGTGGTGGCTTATTGTACAAACCAAAGTAACCCGTACACACATTTCTCTTATTAATTAAATGAACATTAACTTGTTCAGAGCAAACACCAACAGGTTTGAAGATAAATCGTAATTCAAGGTGTACATCAAATGGAGTATCTGAAAAAAAATTACAATGTATTGGTTCTTTGCTTAGTTTTCCCAAGGAGGTAGCAACAGGGGCAAAACATGTAAAAAATTGATCACAGATCAATTGATTGATTGATTCTTTACAAGTTACTAAGCATGCTATTATACCAACCTATATATCATCTGAAAGTTTAGATATAGGTAAATATAGTAGTGCAAATGGTCTTTTAAAAAGAACACTGGTACAGCATACAGGCTACTGAATTCATCTATATCTAAGCTTTCAGATGAAGTATAGGTAATAGAAGCATGCTTAGTGACATTTAGAGAATGTCTGAATCACAGATCAATTTTTAACTTGTTTTAACCCTTGTTGTTAACTTAGGCATATAAAGTGACTTACAATACTTACCTGCAGACGCTGCAGTATAGGGGTAACTTGATCCCTGGGGAATTACATTGTGATTGAATCCTAGACCCGGAGGGGTATGTGTTGCTGAACCCCCAGAGGGAGGAAAAGGAGGGCCTGCAACAGCAAGAAAGAAATACTGTAGAATACTTTATTTTCGCTTGGAATTTATTTTCGCTATTTTTGCTGAAGGGATGTTTCCGTGAAAATAAAATCCAGCGAATATACTTTTTTTCCTATATTCCACATTAAACTCATCAAAAATCAGTGAAAATAAATTCCACACAAAATGCCCAAAAAGCCTTTTCAGCGAAAATAATTCCAGCGAAAATAAAGTATTCCACAGTAGTGCAAATGTTTTAAAAGCTTTGGTTCCATAGAATTTATATATTGTAATGAAGTATGTCACTAATCAGCAGGTGGGTGAGCAATATTTATTTCCTAATATATTCACTAATACATGTCATACATGTATATGGAATAAATTATCTGTGATTAACAGCATAAGACATGAATCGTTATCAGAAAAACATGAACAATAAGCTGACATCAAACAATGACAATATGGTGGGATTATTATACAAATGTATAAATACCTCATTAATTATGCAAGCAGGCATACAGCCTACTGTGAAACCATTTTTATTCACTGGCATTCAAATTAAAACCCAGTGATTAATTAATGCATTTCATGAAACTATACTGTATTTGTTTTTACAACTATTAGAGCATCCACTTATGTAAATGAGTATACCACCACAGTTGTTTGGATTATTTAAGGAATGGATAAAGACATAAATGTACTGTAATAGCAGTCTCCATTACATATCTATGCGTATGATTGGGTCATAATGGACTATATATAGACCAGTAATGGACAATATATTTCCACATGTGCTAAACAGCTGTACTGTAAATGGTTACAGGCGGAGTATTGTTTTTGCTAAACAGTATATCTGATAGGAAATGACACATCAGTGCTAACTTGCTATCTGCTGTGGCAACATTGCACTCAAGTTGTTTTATTAAGGTAGAAGCCTACTCAAAAGGGGTTATAATTCGCATGGCAAAGTCCATTGGTTCATTATTTGATATGATGGAGATACTGGCGTATGACACAATGGCATTATTTTGTGTGTTACTGCGACATACTCTGAGAAACTTTTCAAAAATTGTAAACAATTTGCATTTTTTACCATTTTTTAATATACAGATTTTGGAAATAACAAATGTCTACAATTTAAGATATAGCATAACATCTCTGCCATATGAACCTATGGTAAAAGCGTTATATTGACAAAATGGTCACCACCAACAATAATACAACCTTCACAGAAAAGTTGGTATGGGGACCCCCAACATTTTTTAAGCCAATATCCCAATATTGCCTGGAGATACAATTTATTACAAAATAAATCAATTCCGTGTATTTATTCTGTATTTATGAGTTGGCTTCTACCTTAATAGAGACACATACATGTTTACTTAAAAAACAGCAGTGAATAACAATCACAAAGATCTGTTCTTGCCAACCAGTCACTGCACACATAGAAATGTAAACAAGTGTGATTGTTTATACTGAAACATTTTCTTTATATTCGGATCTTATGAAATTTATTCAAGAAAAGGTATTGCATAATGATGGCTAATCTTCTGGTCATACTACGAAAAGATCGCAGTGAAGATCTCGAGCACTTACCACAATGTTTGAACAACACATAGATAACATGTACTTGATGCAATTATATTAAAGTGGGAGGATTGTCACCTGCGGACGTGCGGGAATTTGAGTCCCAAACGAGGATAACAACACACTAAAAATGCAAAGGCTCATGGGTAGACGCTTGTTTGTAAACAATGATATGCTATGGCCGACTGATGCATGCACAGGTGACGACTCCCTCGCTTTAAACAAACATGTAGTTTTCATTCAATGCACTTTGTACACAGACAAATACGATTAGGATGAGAGAAAAAGTTGATTTCAACAAAGAATGACATGACCAACAGTTATCTAACAGTAATCAAATTTCTACATCACATATTTACCCTTATATGATACATGGACGATACTTACTTGTTGCTGGGTAAGCCCCAGGTGTGGCAGGATACACAGGATTCATAGAAATTGCCTGTGTGAAAAACAAAAAAAAACAAAACATTATGACATTATGACTTTTTCATGTGCTACATGTATCTTGAGGTCAACAAGCCCTAGTCAAATACAAGCACCTGGGGACCTTAACTATGGTTCCCCCAAAGTTAAAGACCAGATGCAACAATCACTATGTAATTTTACGAAGTACATACACAAAATGAAGAACTGGAAATTACTGTAAATGGTTAAACTTTTGCCACATTTAATTTAGTGAAAGTAACTCCCCTCTCTCAACTGCAGTCACACTTTCACCATAGTTTACAATATTCCTACAGTTTTATTTTTGATTATGTCATGAAAGGGTAATCAGCATGAAAATATTAGACTATAGTTATCATGGCATGTTTTAATCACTGCATACATGTATCACAGGCTTGTAACGCACATTATACATCTAGTACTGAAAACAAAAGAATTAACCACTGTATCAGCACTTTCCTTTTTAACTACCTACATCAAGATCCTTGACACGTTCAAGGTTATTGATGTCACATTCAAATGCTTTTCTTTTTTTACACTGGATGCAGAAGCATTATAGCGTACTGTGAATATAGAGTCCCATCACTGAACACAAGTGTTCACACAGCACAGATCAGTTATGGCAATTTCGATTTGAAAAGAATTATAAAATTGCCACGGCTTGGCCAGTTGATATGATCACTGTTCTGTCTTGGTGCATATTTTGCGGTATTCTCATGATAATACCAAATGATAAAACATCTACATTTTAGACTGCCTTCCCTGATCTATATTGTGTACTTCATCACACA